CCATCAAGACGCCTGCCATTTGAAATAAATAAATAAATGTTACAATGAGATGGGCTTTTTTGAAGATGACAAACCAATATATTTTGCAGTGAATTGAGTATTTCAGTACCCCATTTTTATAACAAATCTAATTTACGCTTGAAAGCATACAATTTGCTAGAGTTGTTCACACCTTCATTGCTTCGATGTAATTCGTTGTTTAGAATGCTTCCAGTCTTCATTCAAACCGTAAATCGCGCTCTGTGGAATCCTTTAACCACCTTCCAGAAAATGTTGCGAAGCAAATCACGAGAAGGAAGTGGTCAAATAAACTCCTTTTTCATATGACTTTTGATTCGAATTTTCAGCCGGATACAGAGAATGTAGCTGATATTCTTAGTAATATTTATTTATACCAAATGACAGACTTTATGGCAGTTACCATTGGCTATTTATTTGACTTCGGTCTTCACAGAGAAGAGGAACATCAGAGTTACAAAAAGTCGGTGGGGGTGGGAGGGAGAACAGAAGAGTGGTTCACAGATGTAAAAGAGACCGACAGACACAAAGGCAGAGAAAAGGTAAGGTGAGTACTGTGAAAGTGGTGAAATATGACAAAGTGTGGGGTCATGGTAGTTTATAGTGAGATGTCAACTGCCGGATAATAGATTTTTTTGCCGTATGAGTATACATTTTTCTAGATGCGTCATGTGAAGGTAAGTCTATTGCGCACCCGATAATCCTAGTTATATAAAATTGCTTAAACGCACTCGTCATTCAAGTGTGATCTGCAGCTATAGAATTGCTGACGAGATTTTCTTTGTCGAATACGACATATTCGATAAATTGCTATTAACGAATTTTCTAAATTTACATTACCACCTTCACTAATTTCATTTGGAGATAATATTAAAATTTCGCCTACAAATTCTTATGAAGTCTTGGTTCAAATTCCACTATAATACATTTTGGCAGATGTCCAAGAATGGCATCTTGAGTCAGTTGGGTAAATCAGAGTAAGTGGAGGAAGTTTTTTGTCAAATTAAGGGGTACGGTTCTGTTACTCGTATTCTTTGATAAACGCTCGTGTATATTTGGTAAAACCTCTCGAAAATTGTTGCTCAGTAAGACAGTGTTCAATAAAGTGGCAGTTTGTGCTAATGGAGGTGGGTGAGGGGGGGCGGGTGGAGAATGGGGGAGACAGATCTTCATGAAGTAGGATTGATGAATTTGAAGATGTGGGCACTTAATTTTCCAGACAAAATTGACATACCTAAAGTGGTAAAAAAGCTACCAGTTATTCTTCCCTCTGAAACAAGTAGCAAAACTTGTGCTCGTACCAACTTTTACCCTCTTTACGAACTCTATCAATTTAATTAGGTCCTTTGTTTGTTTAAATACTCTTCAATATGCGTAACTGAAATAGAGGATGAGGTGGTGGAGGAGGAGGAGGGTATGTTGTTGTTGCAAATGTACACAAGTCCAAGTTACTTCCAAATCACCAAGATCTATTGCGCCTAGTTTATCTTATAACTTATGAAAAAATCAAGAGAGAGAGGGAGAGAGAGAAAGCATTCAAAATAAATGTAAACAGACCACAAAAATACCGCAGTCCATTCATCATCCTGCTCAGGTATAAACAGAAGGAGGTAATTTGAAGCACGCTTAACAGTTTCCTTTGTCGTTAGCTAGATTTCCCATTTAGAAATATGCACACAGAAGATAAAATGTAGTGATCATATCGATCGTTTCCTGCAATTCTATGAACAAATGGTGATAATTGAGTTTAGTAACGCTAAACCAACCATTTAGTAATTATTGTAATGTCTAAATCCAGAACCTAACTCATTGATACCACGAAATCGATCTCAGAGCCTTTTCTGCACCTTCTCATGTTTTCACATTTGCCGAAATTTGTTTAAACCGATTCTAATTGTTTCCAATTTTATATTACTGAAAGGTGGTGATAGTGTCCAATTTACTGACAAAATAAAAGCTGTCAAATTGAAGAGAATTAGATTATAAAAATGTAAATTAAATTCTCTCCTTAAGATTTAATGCAACCTTTTGGTTAAAATATCATATGGGGGGGGGGGATAACTCCACCCTCCCTGATGGTGACTATTCCTATTCGGCGTGCAACTGTTTTACTGAGGCTGTTATTGATTTTTACCACTTATCTTTCTCGGCCAATCAGCAGTTTGTCTATTCACTCTCATCATCTGACAGCAGCATTTTGATAGAGCAATCACCTCCTATCTCTTTTTTCCTAGCAAAGCTATTTTGTTACAATTCAGATTCTTCCAGTGATTGGTTAATCCCACATTCAAGTAGTTTTTCACGTCAGTCTCTTTTTAAACCAGCTACTCTATTTAATTTTAAAAAGAAGTTATTACGGCTAAATCTAATAAATGCCCAAGACAGGAAAAATTGAACTTTTTTGCAGACTCAGTTGAGCTAACCGCTTTTTCTCCTGACATTTTCGTTTTTTGGAACCTAGATAGGTTGTGCAAGCTCCTATTTTGAACACGTTATTTCGTTCCATTCCGGACAAAAAAAAACAAACTTTCCTCTTATGGAGTACGTTTCCGGTTATGTGAATCCCACTTATGTCATTCATTCGGATTGACCCATCCACCCATTCCTGGGTGCTATTCAGAAAATGGATATATGTTTTTGGTCATTGACTTTCACCATCTATTCAATTCCATGATTTCTTAATTCTTAAATTACTCCACCTCCCATCCCCGTCACAAACTGAAGACCTCAAAGACGTGCATCCACCGCCTTATCAATAAACTGGCGGTTGTCGGTATTCGTTCAATATGACCGCATTTGCAACATTAGTGGGAAGCAGTTAGGAAATAAAGCTAGCACGTTTTAAAGAATACAAATGTATTTTGCCACAAAAAAATAAAATATCCACCGTGCTCTTGAATTGCATATAACAGCGTGTGTGTGTGGGTGGGTGTGTGTGTGTGTGTGGACAGTGGGAAGGGAAGAGGCGTTTTGGTTTTGCAAAATAGTACTTCGTTTGAGTATTCGGTAAAGGAGAGTGGAAGTAAATAGAGATTAACATGGAGAGAGAGATAGAGAAAGAAACACGAAGCTACTCAAATCTACTGAAGGCCAAGTCGGAAGAAACCAGAGCGTTGGGAGAAGATAAATTCGAGTTGAAATACACGCAGAGAAGCGAAAGGCACTTTCGGTGAACAAGGTTTATATATTGCATCTATATGTATATATATAATGTATATACTCCACTTTGTTTCAATTACATTAAATGGCTGAACTAGATACTCGAATCCACGAGCGATTAGTCGGTATGCTTTTTGTGCATACATTGTTTTTGTTTGTTTAAATGAGTGAGTACTCTAACTACTACTACCACTACTACACTGGTGTTGTTTTCTCTTTGTCTAGTGAATCTAATTTAACTGTTATATTTGACTAGAATCTAGCAAACGTCCATTGGGAGGTTTGTTGAATCCAATGGGAGATTCATTACGTCTAAAATGAGACAGAAAAGAAGTGCACCATTATTTACTCAATCAATTTTACTTAAAATGTGTGTGTGTGTATGAATGAGAGGGATGGGGGGAAGGAATGACCTACTTGTTACAAAAGCATCCCAAAACTCATCACTATCAGACGGTAGATCAGTGTCGATTTCAACATCATTAAGAAGTGAGATATTTTGCTGATGAGATTGTTGTTTCTGCTGCGATTGGGTCTGGTGGCTCTGATCATTTCCACCGCAAGAGGCGGAAGAAACAAAGCTTTCTGGTAAAGATGGTGGAGAGTATTCACTTGAACAAAAAGACCCGCTCGGACGAGAAGCCTTCTCTTGGTTGAGTTCATCACCACTGCTTGGTGTTATACTGATTGAGGATAGGATATCATCAAAGCTAAGGGAAGTTAGCAGAGAATCTGACTTTGCATCCTCGTTTTCCAACATCGCAAGTGTTTCTGGATCCAATTCTTGAAGCATATCCGGTAGGTTGAGAGCCGGAGAAGAAGCTACAGGGGGTCTTTTATCTGCAAAAGGATAAAATTATGCATTTCTAACACATGTCTATATTACATGCCATTGAAAGTAGAGATTAGAAGTCATGCATGTTAAGTGAACGGAATTCATCCACCAATCATATTTTTTCTCAAATGTTCACCACTGATTTAATCTAGCTTGGAAACAACTGTTTAATCAGTTTGTAAATCGGTCCCATAGCCCTATTCGCATATAAATATATATATATATATATATATATATATATAATAAGAAATGGACACAATTGAGTTCACATAAGTCAACCCTTTTCCTCCTGTTCCTGATGAGCCTCTAGAATAAATGACGAAGATAAGTTCACGTTTGGATATGACAACGTATTATTTTTATTTTGTAAAGGAAATTCAAAGGAAGTTTTTTTAGAGAAAGATCAATCTAGAGCTTTATAGCTCCCAAAAATCTCAAAGAGAAAAGGAAGAAAACAGATTTGAAAAAAAGTGATCAATCCGCAAAGATAGGGCAGAATAATGGGTCATGTGGAGGACCAAATAAATCTAGAAATCGATATGTGCTCCGAGAAATCGAACTTTCATTTATAAGCTAACAAATGTAAAGAGCTCAGTTAGTAAGGCGAAGCATCAATTGAAAGTCGAAAAAACCCACGAAAGAATAATGACCTTATAAAATTAAGTCGCTTGTGACTGCTGAAGCATGCAATAATAGTCAATGGATAGGGTAATATATAACAGGCGCAAATTGACTACATCGTTCGCCTCACTTACCGCAAACTATTCTTTGTGAGACAATAATTATTTCCTTGTAATAATTATGGCTAAATCCTTTCCCCATAAGTGTCGAACTTTGCGCCACAGCGGATAAAGAATTTACAGAGAGAAAAATTTCACGTTGAATTGAATTATGCCACATATTTCAATTACTGCTGATAGTTGTGAAATTTAATCGTGTTAAGGGACGATAAAAATTACATTTAAATCAAATAGACAGTCTACTTAGTTAGCTTTTGAGAGAGAAAAATGAAATAAAGGACACTTATTTTGCTTCTATTTTGGGCTAATTTTATAAAATATTATAACGAATCTTCTAGCAGCCTATTTTCAGAACTTAATTATACTTAAACCACCTTTAGCAGTTTCATCTAGCCGTCAATAGTAGTTGGCGAAGCTAGTTGAAGGAGCTTAATCAATGGATAAATTAAATTTATTGGTGGAAATTACTTGAATATCGTAGAAACGAAATCATGTATAAATTGAGATGAGTAAAACACACTGATGTGGTCGTGAAAGTATTACACCCTTTTCGATAAAAACCCACATTTTATCTTTAAAATCAGCCAAGACTGAATATTATTTTATTTTACTACCACGGTTTTCCGAAAGTTCGCTCATTCGAATATATAAATATAAATATATATATATATATATATATATATATATATCTCCACGTGGTGCACCCTGGGCAACGTATACTCATACGGCAAAAGTCTATTAATCGGCAGTTGATCCCTCACTTCAAACTGCCATGACCCCACTGTATGTCATATTCTACCACTTCCACAGTAATCATCCTACCTTTTTCTCTGCCTTTGTGTCTGCCTCTTTTACATCTGTAAACCACTCTTCTGTTCCCCACCCATCGACTTTCTGTTACTTTGATGTTCCTCCCCCCTGTGAAGCCCGAAGTCAGCTTAAGGGCTAATGATGACTATCAAAACGCCTGCCATTGGAAACAAATATATATATATATATTCTTCTAAGGTGAAATATGTTACTTCTGTATTATCGGCCATGGGCGCTTATTCGGGTGGGTGGTTATTTGGTTCCAAAAATAGTTTCATGAAATCGAATTTTCTACTTAACCGCCCTGGGCGGATTTTCCCCAAAATCCCGGTAGTAAGACTCACCATTTTGAACCGGTTCAACAAGAGAATGTGGGGGACCGAGAATGGGTATCTTGGTGTTATTGTTATTGAAGTGTTGGGACGTTAGAGCCTCATTGCACTCGCATGGAAGCAGGAAACTGAAAGACGAATTCTGTGGGACTGCAGTAGCGTTAGGTAATTTCGGTGGTGCTGACTGCGGAGTGAGAATCGGTGGAAGGGTGGAGGCAGGTTGGAAAGGCTGTTTTGAAACTGCTTGTGCTACAGGCTGCATCCGAGTCAGTGGTTTCACCAGCTCTGCCTGTGGTGCACTGATACCTCTTGTATAGATTACCCACGGTGTTGTCACTATTGCCTGTGGTGTCAAACAAGTTGTAGTCTGAAAAAAATAGATAAATTTGGATTTCATCCTTTCACAATTTCTGAAAGAATAATGTTTCCGAAATTCGCATTTGATCATTCATCTTACCAAGGAAGTTGAATTAAATTTATAAACTTTCAATCCCGAGATATCTGGATACTACCTGAACTCTAAAAACTTTATTTGATAAGATTCGGCATTATCGTGACAAAATTGTAAACGCTCTTCCCCTTTTAGGCTGATTGCATTTTCATTTTAAGGAAGTCATTCACACCAGACATAGGTTCATCAATTGATTATTTATGAGGTAGGTTCTTATTTTATTCCATTTTGCTTTTTAAATGTTACCGGATTAATGTGATAGCATTAAAAAAATGATCTTAGAATGGAATTCATAAAATTGCATTTCAAGGTCAGATGTCCCATTAATAAAAGCAGTATCTATTTCACTCCTTTTTTGCAGAAAGTTCAAATCTTTTTCGGGCTGCAAGGAAGAGTAAAGAGCGAGAACTTCCTAATTCATATACCGAAATAAAAAATTTAAAAATTATTTCATTAGGAGTTTCAGCGCTAAGCTCCTTCAAAGATCAAAATCTCCTATGACCTATCAAAAATAACTCCACAATCTCTTAGTTTTATAAAAAATATAGCTAATATTGACCACCAGTTATTGATTACTAGAAATAATAGCAGCATTCAAACAACTGGATAATAAGGTTTGAATATTCCAAAGATGAAGTGGTCCTTGGTTAGATGATTCCATCGGTTGAGGTGAAAAGTACATTGTAGTATTTCATGCCTTTCATGGGTAATAGTACTAATAGCCGGTGTTGCAGTGATTATCAAGTCATAAAATGAGGGTCACGAATTATTGGTAAACACTCAGTCATGTGGATAACTAGCCAATACTCGGTAAACAGAAGGGAAGATACAAAGAGCGTTTCTCATTGGGATCTTGATAAACTGATACATGGGAAAAAATGTCCAGGTTAGTTAAATAAATGAAAGCGTTTGTTAAATTTTCAAAGCATAAACTTTAACAAATCCACGAACTGCAATAATTAACAACCAAGAAGAAGTGATTATACTCGTTTTATCCTATAATTAGTGCTAATTGTGAGCGTGGTACCTCAATTCCAAGCATATAACAAGCATATGGGTGTTGTCAAATTAAGTGAAAGATGGTCATGTGACGAGAGTACAAAAAAACCCGACATACCCTGGCGTTTAGCATTCTAAACATATGCACATACCTCGCCACTAAAGTCAAGACAATTTTACTTTAGACGAGAGTGATGTACATTTTTAGCCAGCATAAACATACATCATAAATAATTTGAGCATCTCTGGCAGGCGCCAGGAAAGGTCCAGAAGTGGTGTTTGGAAGATTCGAGGTCACGCTGATTGGCTGCAGAGTCGGTGTCGGCTGCACTGGTTGTGGTGGTAAAGAAGGTCGTTGTGGTTGTAATTTGAGCACTCTTATTGGCCGTTTAACCTGAGTTATGATGGTGTTTGTGGATCCCAGTGATAAGGAGGAGGAAGAGGAGGAGACAGAGGAGGAGGAGGAAGAACCAACCAATTGCCTCCCCTTGCTTTGACTAGAATTTTCAGGGGTTGGCTTTGATTGATGTAGGTAAATTTGAATGCCACTGAGTTGGAAATCCCTGAAAGAGAGATTAACTTTAAATAAAAATGATAGTTGGAGGGGGCGGGGCGAGGAAATAGTGCAGAAAATTGGTTCTCAGAAGATTTTAAAATAGTAAAATGTTAAAAGTGGCACATTGTGTTCCAGTTAAGGGACGAGCCAATGAGAGTTGAGCACATGAAATCATCGGAACGTCTTTCAAGATGGATTATTTTGCACGTGTCAAATCTCGTAGACCACGTGAGTAATTTGAGATTGAAATGTTGGAATAAGCCTTCCATACCACGACAAGGTAAATTACAACCAGTAATGAGAAGAGACAGAGATCTTTACTGAATAATTCTATTAAGGAAGAACAGAGCATTAGTTCGTTCAAGCATTCGGTTCAAAGGTGTTTGGACAGAATGGAGAAGTAAAAAATGAGTTTGGGAGAAGAGGAAAGCGTCATTGTTAGTTAGTGGAACTTTAAACTGTGTTATCGTGGTACTGTTATGCTAAAATCATATTTCCTTCAAGAAGAAAAATATGTAAATCGATAAGATATTCACCCAAATCTATCAACTAACCAATAAGATCTGGACTCTGAGAAAGTGAGTGTGTGTTTATCAATTGAGATATATCTTGAACTTCAAATATTAGAACATTATGCCGTGAAATAGAGATCAATATTCGAAGAGGTTAGAAGCGTAAAACCTCTATTAAATGAAATTTCGATATCCTAACTTCAAGTTCTCCCCAAATTCGATTCCTTTCCCATAATTCACATTGGAGTGCTTTACAGCTCTCAGTGGATTTAGGCGTTTTCCAACAATAAAAAGGCATATTTTTTTCGGAAATAAGTAGGAAGGAAACGAGCAAAAGAATGTCAAAAATTTGAGCTATTTTCTTTGAAATTGAACTACCTCTAAACAGGAAAGTGAGCACGCAAATTAACAATGATTTCAATTAAATTCAGTTTGCTAGAATAAGCAAAAAAGCATATAAACTAATGTTAATTTGAATGAAAATAATAATCCCAGTATAGTTAAAATAAAATTATTAGAAATAATTTTTTTAAGAAGTTGTGAGGGGGGGGGTAAAATGTAAATGAACAAATTCCAGTGATGAAAATAATCACGTGAGTTTGCATCTTGTCCAACTGATATTTCAAAATGTCAATCAAATGCTGGATTTTAAATGGCAAGACAATTGGGGAAAGATAATTAAATCTCATTAGAGAGAGCGAGGATTCGGATCCACTTATAATGCCCGTCAATTTGAGTCGATCGCCCTCCAGATGTAAATGATGCAAAAAATAATAATGAAGGCTCGTTTTGAGGTATCTCCTTACCCAATAGGCTGATGAAGGCAGCGAATGTTAATTTCAGAGGAAATTGAGAGAAGACTTCGAACCCAAATGAATTTAGACGCTCCTCGCCATCGTTGATTTCCATTTAATTGGGTGTCTGGGATCCTCAAACGGTAGGAGGGGGTCCATAGGGACGACCTTCGTTGAGAACCTATATATAGAATTAAGTTTATAAACCAGAAATGATAAATAAAGAGATGCTTTTTTAGGCCTCAATAGAACCAAACCAATTTTAGTGTCTGCTGACTTGAGAATCCTCTTACAGCTACAAGACGGTTGATCTTAGGATTACGCCCTCAGAGAGGTGCAATATGAGGATGACTAGCAGAAGTAAAGAAAAAAATTGCCAATAGACGACTATGCAAAGCCGTCTTCATCAAGGAGGCCTTTGATCTCATGACCCTGACAGCCAACGACGCCAGTTCGCGTCGTAGGAGAAATCGAGGGAAAACAATTAAGTGGAAAGCTTTGAACCGTTTTTCAAGCTCATTAATAAGGAAGAACCTTCCAGTTTTTCAATAGTGCACATCAGAATGTCATCGACAATGCAAGCCCCATAAGACACATTAAAGAGCAATAACACGAATCTTTGAGGTGGGTAAATCCTGATTCACATATTTAAAACAAAATAACAAGATATTTTCCAAAAACATCATATGGCACAAGTTATGGTATCATTACGGGGTGTGCGATGGACTTACCTCCACGTGGTGCACCCTGGGCAACGTATGCTCATACGGCAAAAAAGTCTATTAACCGGCAGCTGACTTCTGACTTCAAACTACCATCACCCCACTGTATGCCATATT